GTTTTTTCCTTATTTTTTGTATACGTTTTTTCCCACTTTTCCGTATTAAGTTTAAGGTTTTTACCTAAGAAAAAAACGTATATATTATACTGATTTTCCATAAAAGTTATACGTTATAAAACTTAATATTTTTATGGAATTTTTGTATCAAATTTTTTATTGGGCTGCATGAACAGAACCATTCGCTTGGATTTTGCGAAGCTGTTTTTGCATTTCATAAACTCATGAAAATTTCCATTCATTAGTTTTACGAATATATGTGATTTTACAATCAAATGTTATCTTGTAAGGAACAGGCCACTTATTATTACGTCTTTTTTTTTCAAAATGAAGTGATCACAAATCACATTTATTATGATCTAGAGTGACAATAGATTTATGATGATGTGTGAAAAGCATTGATAGATTGTGAAGATAGATGACATAAAAACGATTCCACATGGATTTTGAAAAATTTTGTAAACGAATTGTTATTGTTTGTCATAAATCTTTTTGAGATTGAAATGATAAAGATGAATCTTGTTGTTTCATGTTTGATCCTAATTATAGTTAATTATCTTATCTCTAAATTAATTAAAAAATCAAAAAAAAAATCAAAAAATAATAATCATACCTAGCAGTCAATGTTTCATCAATTGTCTCATCAATAATATTTATATGTGTTTTTTTATATATACCTTAAAGTAACATTCCAATATGCACAATAGTTTGTACAAATTTGCATTCATCCCATACACATGATTTTTGAAGTTTCTTGTCCTTATGTTTATTAATATCTTTTCCTATACGAATATCTGCATAAAGTTTAAGTTTATCTTCAATGGGTTGAGGTTTTACCCAAACTCGTTGTGATGGATCAATATGTGAATTCTTGGTATAGAAACAGCAATATCGATTCTAGTAAACAACTGCATTATAAGCATATCTCATCAAGCCCATTTAACGTTTCAATAGCTGCTTTTGAGGGTGATTTGGATACACTTTGATTAGTAGTGTACGATTGAGAGTGGTTTTCAAGTGTTGTCGCTTCTTGTGCGCTGATGTTGTCCTGATCTTTGTCTTGCGCTTTTTTCCTAACCTAGCATTCTCATCTGTGAATAGCTCTTCTTTCTTGCATTCAACTGTATTGATTGTAAGGATATCTTGGGAAAGTTTGTGTTCATCAGAGGTCATATCGTCGAAGAGAATCACGAGTTTTATAGTATAGAGGGAGAGTATGTACTGGATGAGGTCAAAGGTAAAGCAGCAGGTTCAGTCACAATGGGTAACCACAATTTCTGAAACCATTCCACGACTTGTCCGTTCCAATAAGGTCTTAAGTCCTGGTCTCTTGAAGTTGACACCTGATCCAATATCACTGATGAGGTGTTATTTCTGCCGTTCAAGATCCTCTTTTTGCTTGACAATAAAGACCTGTGCATGGAGGAACCCTTTTTTGGTGGTGGTGGTGGTAGCGGCGGCGGTGGTGTAATCGATATCTTGGGTAATCCTTCCTTGCTTTAGCCAACGACGTAAGGTATCTGACGAGATTCCAAGTTTTCTAGTTGCCTTGTGTGCAGACAAATACATGGAGAAGAGAGTTTGAGTTACGATTTTGAACGATTTTTGAGTCTTATATGATTTTCATTGATAACGATATTACAATGAGCAATACTAAGCAATTATTGGCAACTGTATTAATAAGCAAAAATTTGCTACGGGTGAAATCGTTTTTATACTTTTTGCGTGTAATAAGAAATAGGACAATGATTAATGAGTAAGGTCTGACCAATCATAGATTCGTGCAACATTCACCAAAAAAATTTGAGATCAAGAAAAAATTTTTTAAATATCTCGAATATTATTTCTTATGCCTACACCAAAGTATATCTAAAAAAAAATGGTTAAATCTTCAACAACGCCAACTTTCAAAAAGCAGATTAAATCTTCGACAACTCCATTGTCATCAAAGAAATCTTCTATCACGTCGTCATTACCGACTAAAGGCAAACTGAATTCTACAATAAACGAACTTTCAACTATAGCTAAAGCAACTTCACCACCAAAAAAAAAATCAAAAAAAGTAAATTCTCTTAAATCAACTTCCACAAAACATACAAAGAAAAATAAAAATGGTTCAAATAGTTCTAATAATGATAAATATAAGTTGAAAGAACCCAATGAAATGGAAATTGACAATAATGATTTATCAGATGATTCGATTGATTTTGGAATGACTGGCGGTGATATGGACGAAGAATTATTTAATTTGAAAATAGATGCTTCAACATCTGATGATGATGAAAATTCTAAAGTTGATGGTAGTGATATTGATAGTGTTATCGAGAGTAATGATGAAAATGTTAAAATAAATGAGAGTGATAATATGGATATTGATCAAAAGAGCGGACGTGAAAATCTGAATGAGGAACTGTTGGATGATGAGGAAGGCAAGGAAGATAAGTTTAAACGACAAAAAAACCAGGAACCCGGTAACTATTCTCAACATCATTATCTTTTTCATCTTTTCAAATTCTAACCTAAAATTTTTATCATAAGATAAATTAAATTTTACGTTGAGATTGGAGGTAATACTGAAAGTGGTGCTAATTTCACTGGCTTCACTTTCATATTCTTCTTTGTTTTAATATTAATTAGCATAAAATTAAATTTAAAAATTTTTATTATTATGTATTAGAAATAAAAATTTAAAAGTTACCTAAATAATCTTTTGAAAGCCTTGCTTTCTTACTAACATTGGAGGTGACACTGGCATTGGCATTGGCTTTGGCTCTGGTATTAGCTTTGGTAGTATTGGCTTTGGCGGCTTTGGCATTGGCTCTAGTGCTGATGCTGGAGCTGGAGCTGGCATTGACATTGGCATTGGCTCTGACATTGAATGTGGTGGTGCTGGCATTAGCACTGGCAGTGTTAGAGCTGGCATTGGCATTGGAGATGGTGCTGGAGCTGGCACTGACATTGGCTTTGGTGGCATTGGCATTTGTGCTGGAGCTGGCATTGGCATTAGCTCTGGCATTGAAGGTGGCGGAGCTGGCATTGGCATTGGCATTGACGCTGACATTAGCGCTAGCATTGGCATTGGCATTGGCGCTGGCATTGGCATTGGCATTGGCACTAGCATTGGCTTTGGCTCTGGTATTGAAGGTGGCGGAGCTGGCATTGGCGTTGGCATTGGTATTGGCTTTGGCTCTGGCATTGAAGGTGGTGGAGCTGGCATTGGCATTGGCATTGACGCTGACATTAGCGCTAGCATTGGCCTCTCCTTTCTTGACCTAGACGAAGAAAATTTCGTAGCGTTAGCTTTGCGTTAGGACCAGCAATATTACTTGCAAAAGAGGCTAATGCCCTCAAAGACAATACGAAGCGCTCATTTTTCTCGTACAAGAGTTTGAGTGAGGTGTTAATAAGATATGGTCTCGAAAGTGAGGGCACCAACAAAATCCCATTATTTTCCCTATAAACCTATGAAATTGAAGACTCCAACAAGTACTTCGAGCACTACGTGAAGAATATTTTGTTCAGAATGAAACATTACAGGTTATTGGTTGTGGATAATTTGGAATCTATGCGTAATAAATACATTTCGACTATACTTCATATTGCAGGAGACGTCACGAATAAGGAATTTACAATGAAACCTGAATGCGAAATAATTGGAGGAAAGTTGTGAGTGAGTCGATTATGCAATGAAGGTAACAATAACATCATTCCCGTTTTATTTTTTAGTTATCTATGACTGGAGGAAGACACTAAACATTATACTTCCCTTTTTCAGGAGGCCGAAAACCTTCTTTATATCACAGAAGACAAGGTCCAGCATAATATTCTCAAAGGTTATGCCCAAAATATAAAACAGCTTGAAAGTTCCTACGAAATAAACAGGAGGAAAAACGAAAACATGAGGATGATGATTTCGATTACCTGTATGGTATTGTGACCACCGCCAGGGATTGGCATTTTCTGCTCTATAATCCGGGTGAAATTTTCCAGACAAGTGAACTCCCGTTCGCTAACGAAGTTAACAAGAATAAAAATTAGTTTTGAAATTTGATAATTTGGCGGTTATACCGTTCACGCAGACGGATCAAATCGTAGAAGTATTTTCTGCTTCATATTTTTGTCTTGCCACAAACGCCGTGATGATCGAAGTGAAAATCCTCAGAAAGGCTATATAATTAAAACAATCAACGAATAATAACCAACTTATTTCATATATAACCTAAGATCCAAAATCGATATTATCGTCAATAGGAATCATTACGTAAATATGATCGCATCACGAAAATCCAATCTATACCACATAATAAAATAATTTAGACTAATTTGCCGAAATTTGACTCGTCCTTCCCAAAAAGAGATAAAGTTTTGCGTTAAATGAATGTCATAGTGCAGTTTTATTTGGCAAACAAACGCAACCGTGAACCAACACGTCAACCTGTTATTATTGTTCATTCAACCACTTTTGCTTATCTTTAGCTAAATTAATTCATCCAAAAGTATTGTCGATGGTGGGGCATTTGATTACGACGAATTTTGTCTCTATTGAGTTACGTATAAACTATTTTGAATGTTATAGTTCAAGACTTCGGAGGCATACATGATGCCCAACAATACCTACACCATGCGGAAAAAATTATCGTTAGGTAAATCGCGCCAAATGCGTCTTTTCTGATATAAAATTTGATAGTTTGATTTCGTTTGAATTTTTTTTTTAGCAATGAGGTAAAATAATCACTAGTCAAAAACTTATTATTTTGCGGTTAGTCTACGAATCGAATTCGAATTTCGATTCAAACTAGGCTTCTATGAGTGCGTAATGTCAAGGCGATATCACTAGTGTATGCAAGTAGATCTGACGCGTAACAATAAGCGATTAACGGATCCGCACAATCATCACATATGAAAATTAACACAAACACCAACTCTTCATATGCAAAGTTTTTTTATTAGAAATGGGTTCAACTAATGCTAAAATTAAAATTACGCGAACTACCATATAATCTAACACTAAGCTAACAATCCGTTATGGCAGAATTTGAATAATCATTCGAGGATCACTCAAGAATGTGAAAAAAAAAGAAAATATTTTTTCCCCTACGGACGTAGCTATTCACATTTTACTAATAATTTAGTTAAGATTCCTCAATTCCAAAAACTCTTCTCTGAGAATATCCATATATTTGCTCCAAAGCCATCGTAAAGCATCTTTTGCTGTTGGTCTATTGAATTCATCCTTTGCCATCAAGTTCGTTCTTGCATAGGCTTTCAATTCATCAGATTCTCGAATTTCAATAGAGGTCGTCAGAATCAAATATCCGACAGACCAGATATCGACGCTCTCATTATGAAAGGGCTTAAAAATCTCGGGTGCATGGTTATCTTTAGCTAATTGCGTATTTGGAACAGCCGAAGGAATCTGGCACGCTTCATCGAAGTCAATAATGAACCACTTGTCCCGATTGATGTATCTCAACACATTTTCCCAGCGGATGTCGCGGTGCATGAATTTCATTTTATGAAGAGCCTGTGAATTGATGATTAATTACAAAATGCCCATGTTTTCAGTAATAAATATAAATATGTATACCTCGAGTGCGGTCAAAACACAACACAACGCCTTGATCAATTGTTCTTTTGATTGTGGTTTACAATCCACTCCTTTTGGTGTAAAAATCACGAATGGAGTTGATCCTTCCTTTATATGTATCTTCTCTAGGCATTCGATGTAAGGAACATGGTGCTCGGCAAGTTTATCATAAAGGTGCTTAAGATTCATAACAGAATCCAGTGAAGGATAACGTTTTACAATTTCTTTTTGCATAAGTTCAATCACTTTACCACTCGATCGGTGAAGGACAATAAATTCTTGCTGAAAATATTCCGGTACAGTTTGACGAAGTAAGGTCAGCAATCGGCCAATGTTTCTTCCAATATTGAAAGCTTGTATGCGTCCTTCTACTTCATCGAGTGAACAAGTGATCAAATCTTTCCGCTTAATATTCTCTTCTTCGAAATATAAATAGCAGTAAGTTACACTGGTGGCAAATGTATAGTACCCAAAGATGTAAGGGCAATTCCCGTACGTCCATGTCAATTTAGAGGTTAGCTCCAATGCTGGATCATCATGATTTTCAGGTCCCTTTTCCTCCCCTCTTGCAAGACAGGCACCAAATACCAAATATGAAAGATCTGGTCGAAATTGATTTGTGGAAGTGTGGTGAGATGTGTTTCGATTATACACTCCCTTAGGACATCCGATTTTAATAGGTTTAATAATAAGTGCGTCCCAAAACGCATGGAATGAATCTTCCGTTGTACCGATCAAGGGTGGATAGGCGATATTGTTTATAAATTCGTTCCATACTCTCGTGGAAGCCTTGAACGAGCTCACAAAGAATTGATTCAAAGTCTCTGGAGAGAGTTCTGGTCGAAAGTATCGATCGTAGTTCGTTGGATAAATTTCGATCGGCTGGGAATACGGTTGTTGAAGATAGGTAAGTAAATTATTACGGGCTGGAATATATTCAGGTTTCATGTTGAGCATGTTTCGGGTCGAAATATATAGAACATCATCTATGTTGAAACAGGCTGATTAGAAATACGAGTTCGAGGGTAAGTACCATTTTATACTTTAAATCTTACCATCTATATGTGCTTGTACCAGATTCAAAGTGGGACCTATGAAGAAAAAGTAGTGGATAACATTAACATATGCGGACGATTGTAAAAATAATAAAATTCAAAAAAACAGTGTATATTCAAACAGTCATGGTACTTACCCTGTTCTACGATAACGCGAATGTGTTTTTTGGGCGGGTTTGACGATAAGAAGCAGGAAAAAAAGCACAAAAATAAGTAAGTATTCGGTATTATTGGCGAATATGACAGAGGAAGACAAAAATTACGCTATACTATCTTGTAACACACCTTGCTCGCCTTTAATTTCCTTGACCAGCTCAGCGACCGCGATAGCCGGTCCTGGTTGTAGTCCATAACTTTCAAGTTCTTCTTTTGTTAAACTGAGAAAGGCTTTACCACCAATTTTTTTACTTCTGATTATCTCAATATCCTCATCGTCAAGATCTAAGTTCAAGTCTTCCCTTTGTAAGAAGGTGATTACGTTATCCTTTTTCCATTCTTTCTTTACGACATCGACAAACGGGAGAATAGTTGTTTCTGACATGGGTTCATTTTCTGTATCCATACAAAATAAGAAAGAAAACTTTTTGTTTCAATAAAATTACATCATTGTTTACAGTTTATTTTTAGAACAAAAAATGTAATAAAAAATCAATGTGATACAAAATTTAAAAAAAAAATTTTTAATCTTGTACGACCATGTCTAACTTTAATAACTTTGACGATAAAGAAAATGATTCAACCTTTTCTTTGGACAATGTTGTTTTGGAACAATATGAAAAGAATGAATTTATGCAAGCAGTTATTAATGACTT